TCCGAGTGAGTGCTGAGCCGACCGCTTGCTACTACAATTACCTGGTCCCTGTGAGTTAGCAGAGAAACAGGCTTGTCGCTGTTTGCCACCTGACAGCCCTTGTGACGATAAGGTTTTAGCCTGGGTAATTTTGCTTTCAATATATTTTGACGTAAAATGGCTTTTTCATTGTGGTCCTTCTGAAATGTCAGCATGCAAGGCAGTCTCCAGCAACAGGTTCCTGCTAATACAATGTGTGAAGCAGCCTGTGACAAGGGACACATGGGTGGTGTGAGCAGGAGTCACTTCTCAAAGCAGCTCGAAGCTATGTTGGATTTTAGAGCAAATAAGCCCAAATGAGCACCTGTAATGAGGAGCACACCTGGGAACAGGTGTTTTCATGCAAGAGAGCAGCATTTACTTTGAGCTTGTGTTCTGGTAAGTGCCTTGTCACTCTTTGCTGTTGTGCTGAGAGTGCTGCGACTGGTGTCTCAGCTCTGCAGGGTTCAGTGCTGAGCCCCTGGGAAGCCGCGGGAACCTGTGCCTACGTGACACCATGTATAACTGTTGGGAAGCGCTTGGCTCAGTTCACAGCAGTACCCGAGATGCTTTGACCTTTTCTGACTGCACCAGTTCTGTCTCCTTTGCTGCAAGCCAACCTCAGCTTGCTCTCCAAACTCACAGCTGAAGGTAAGGGCACTTACAGTGAAGTTAGTGGTGGTGAGAGGAGGTCTTGTTAAATGGGGAGCTGTGCAGTTGTTTCTTGCCACAAAGACCTGCGTTTAGTTGTGACTCACTAATGAACAGCAGAGTGGATCACAGCTTGTGTACAGGAGCTGCATGCAATCTGGATCTGGGCTTGAGTACGTTGGTTTCTTTTTTGCTGTCCTTGGCAATGTTCCAGGCTGTTGTGCTGCTTCCCTCTCTCTGCCTTGTAGAAAGCAAGGGAGCTGGGGGGCTTGCAGTCCTGGGACGTCGCCACAGAAGGATGGGGCACTTGGTCTGTCTTGTTGCTGTGCTTCAGTCATCATACCCACAGCTGTATTGCATCCCTGCCTGTGTTGTTGCTCCCATCAGGATCAGTCCTGGCTGTTCATCACCCCCTTCTCGGCTGCTCTGTGCAGTCACTTCAGATACCCAAGGAAACCTTCTCACAGGAGTTAGTCACCCACCTAGATGCCTTTTTCTTCTACAGAAAGTTGGAGGGCTTGTGATCTTCCTACTCTACCTACCTCTGCCTACTCAGACACCTAGTTTCCTATGTTACAAGAAAAATACTGTTATAGTCATCATGTCCCCGCAGGAAGAGATGAGGAAGGTTTGGCCGAAGGCAGCCCTTCTTGAAATTGCCCGTTCTGGCATATGCCTGCAGATGCACAGTGATTGTCTCCTTGGCTACCCAGAAGGTGTCTCAGAGATAACTGGATCTTGAATTTGAGAGGAATCTGGTGCCTTTGTACTAGGTTTGTGCTGGGGAGATGTGATGTGGTGGCTCAGGTGCGGATCCAGGACCCTGGAAAGCTTTCTATGCAGTATTCTGAGCCAGGGAAGAGCAGCTTCTCTTGGCCTGTGTTTGCAGATGGCACTTCAGTGGTGCCAAAGAGAACAGACTCCAGGAGCTTCTGTTGTCGATACACTGCAAGCCTCACCCGTGGTGAAGTCAGCAGGGACCAACACAGGGTGATGGGCTTGAGGGTTGCACCGTGCTCCAGTGGAGTTCCTGGCTCTTCCTTATGGCACAGCAGGTCCCCCAGAGCCCCTGCCTCCCCCGGGCACCCTGGCAGGACCAACCTGTTGCTGACTCCTCATGTAGCTGCTGGATAGGTCAATCCTGCGTATGCAGGAAGCATGTTTGTCTTGTAATCCTGTAATTGAGTTTCAGTAACGACTTGTCTGTAAAGATTAAAAGGTACAGGCTCCTTCCTGCCTGGTTGCAGACATGGCTGGGAAGATTCAGCTTCCCTGCACACAGGTGCCTCTTCTTATATATGAGCAGCCCTTGCAGCTTTGCAGAGAAGCTGTGGGGCTGCCTGCTCCCCAAAAGCCCCACTGCTGGAGGGCAGTATCCTGGCTTAGCTGAGTGTGACTTGTAACCTTACTGGGATGCAGATGATGGTGATACCCCTGCCTGCGTGAGGGTGTTGCCTCCTGGGTGCTGGACCACACAGCCCTGGAGAAGGCTGCCATTTGTTGTGCTAAAAGGGGCAGTTGAAGCGGATGATGTGACTGGAGAAAGCCTTGGTGGCCACTTAACATGTTACCAAGCAAGCTGCAGGGTGTAGAGGGCTGTTCCCATTGTGCAGGGAACAAAGCTGAGCTGTTCGCTGGCCTGCGACAGGCACCGGGCATGGAAGAAATGCCATCCAGATTTAGAGTCATTTCTGCGCAGCCCTCGGGGTCCTTGCCAGGAACAGACAGATACCATATGAAGATGAGAGGTGGCGGGACTGCCTCCCTGTGCGGTTTGCAGCCCTGATTCCCCCTCACTGTGTCCCATGCAGATCTGTGGCGTTTCCTAGAAAAAAAAGAAGCCTCTTTTCTTTCTCTTCCATCTGTGCACGGAAGTGCGGTCCCTGGCCTCGGAGAAGGCTTTCATAGAGCAGCTGCCTTCCCGACTGGCTGCTGTGAAGGCCAGGCTGGCCCGCTTGTCCTGCTGGCTGTGTCTCTCCTGCACATTGTTCTCAGCACCCGCTTTCAGAGCCCCGTGTGCCTTTTGAGCTCAGCTTTTCCCATCAGTGAGCGAAAGGCTGCCCGCATGCCACCGTCGTTCAGGATCACCCATTGACCTCCACAGCCAGCACGGTGAGACGTGCCCTTAGCCTGCACTGGCGGCCAGCCCCTGCTCAGGGCAGAGCTGGAAGGGGCTGATGTTTCTTTGCGTACAGCTGGAGGGAGCAGCTCAAAAAAAACCCCGGCAAAACAGGCCATCTGTCGCTGCCGGATGGATCTGCCGGGCTCTGCTGTAGTCAGCGTTCACCTCGCCTTGATGGGCTTCTGCCTCCAGGAAAAAAAAAGACCCTCCGCATCACAGATAAATGCAGATCCTCACTGGGGTCTGGCATGTCCTCTGCCTCTGCATGCCCCTCCCAGCCCCTGGCAGTGGGCAAGTCTAAAGCATAAAGCTTGGATCAAGAGAGGGGCAGGTCAGGGGCCTGTTGCTGCGCTGGGCAGGGTAATGGGAGGAGAGGGGGCTGCTGCTCTTTTGATTGTGCTGTGCTGTGGCTGCGTGGGGCTGTTTGTGAAGCGTTTTCCCTGAGCAGCTGCTGGTGTTTCTGAAGCAGCTCCTTGCTCCACATGAGTAATGGGGCTGGCTGCACGCACGCTGTGCAGCTGCAGCTCTGAAGAGCGACGTGGATGGCCGTGGGAGCTCCTGTGGCATCCACCCCTGCAGTGGCTCAGCGCAGTCTGCAAGCTAACCCTCGTGTGCTGGCCTTCAGCTCTCATACAAACAGCGACACTTGGCTCTCGTCGCCTTCCCCAGGTGGGGACAGGCACCACATGAATGAAGCACCTCCTGCCCTGCCTACCTCTCAGCAGCAGAGCCTGGCACCTGATCTGTTTGACTACCGCATCCCTGATCAGGATGCAATGTCAGCTCTGTGTCTGCATAAAGCGTGGGTGGATCTTCTTGGTGTCTAAGGCTTTATTCTGCATAAAAATAAGTGCTTTAAGTTCTCTGAGTGAAGACTGTCACGGTAAGGCTGTTCAGCATCTAAGTGTGAGTGGTGCTTCTCTGCAGAAACATTGCAGGCCAAGTGCTAGAGATGGTCTGGCTCACTTCAAGGGCGGCCTGTGGTGTTTCTGCACACACACTGGTCTTGGGCAGAAGGTGGAAGGTGCCTGGCAGGCCTGCCCTGGGTGTTTTCCCTGCCTTGTGCATCTCATTTTCACAAATAACACTGTTTTCACTGGTGAGCAGTGAACTTCCCTGGCCAGGCCTATGGCAGCTGGTCACATGTTACTCACTCTGCAGTTAAACCTTGTCATCATCCCTGCTTTATAGAGAAAGCAGTGGCTTATGAGCCTGAGTGATTCAGATGTTTGCCTTTCCTCTCATTTTTATTGATGACAGGCAGGTCTTAGTACATAGTGCTTCGTTAGCCGCTTCCCAGCCGTGGCAGTACAGTATTCTTTACCTTGTGTCTGTAACATTGGACCACATTTTGTCCTGCTTCTCTTGTTTGGCCAATATGGCAGAGCTGTTTTAGCAAGGCCGGCGTAAGCACCACTGTTAGAGCCAAGCCCCGTGAAACTGCTTCCAGCATTCCTAGAGTATTAGAAATAAACTGCTGAACTCGACATTCAACTAACCAGCGCAAGTGTGTAATGCGGTAGCAAGCCAGGCCAGGCAGGTGGGCAGGGACAGCACACCACAGGCATGGAAAATGTGCAAGCTGCAACGGGGCTTGCATGGTCTCAGATTTCTGCTTGCTGCAAGGATGGGTCAGATCACTCAGGGTGATCCACAGAGCCCAGCTCTGACTGAGCTCCAGGCCTCTGCATGCTGTCAGCTCCGTGGGAGCGGCATGGGGAGCAGCAGTCCCATTCCCTGCAGTTTATTGTGCTCCCTCAGCCTCATCCTGTGCGGTAGCGGTGTGAATGGCTGGGCAAAGGAGGAGGGTGAGTTCCAGGTTGTATACCAAGCAGGGCCACACCAAGGTGTGGATTCCTGCAGTCTTGGCAGCAGCTTCCCCTGGGGCCCCCTGCCCAGAGAGGACAGACGTGCCTAGCGTCGTGGGTGCCCAGCAGCGTGGGTGCCCAGCATCACAGAGACCTGGTGGGGAGGTGGAGCTGTGGCAGAGCAGCCAGCACAGCTGAAGCCCTTTACATAAGGAGCTGTTTGTTTTGCTGAATTGTTAAGCCACATTGACAATAGCAGCCCCCCCTCCTCTCACACTCGAGGAACTGTAGTGGCCACACACTGAGCCTTTCTCTTGTCTTGCGCTTTAGGCACCGAATTAGGGTTATTCTTCCCTGAATCCCTCTGAGTGGCTGTTGCCTTTTGTTCTCGCTCTCTGCAGGCGTACGAGTGGGCCTTGGAAGGGATGCGACATCTTGCCTGCATCAGCATGGAGGACTGCAGCTCTGCTGAACACTGTGCAGGTGTGATCAAGTGCCTGGAGAGTTATAAGGGGCAGCACCCGGACATCAGCGATGCCCGATTCCAGGAGATGAAGGAACTGGCCTGTGAGCTGAAGAGCGACAAGGGACTCAAGCAGTGGAAATTTGCATGGTCCAAATGCCAGGAGACCAAGCTGGTTTTTGAAAAGAAACTTGAAGCAGCCTTGAGAACAAGGAGGTCTCTGCTGTCAGACCACAAACCAGCTGCAGGGGAGCAGCCCCGTGCTGGCAGTGAGGCTGGCAGTGTGTCCCACCGGAGGCACTCCGAGGGGGGCACCTCCGGGTCCCACTGGGACAGGACTTACAGTGTGTCCCACTGCTACAACAGGCCCAGCTACTCTCCAGGGTGGACTAAGGAGAAGGCTCCCTCGCCCTCCCCAAGCTGCCCTGGCAGTGTCAGTGCTGGGGAAGAATTTGCCTGCCAAGCTGCTCTTAGCCCTGGTCCTCACTCAAGCAGAGTTTCCTTTGCCAGCGGTGCCTCCAAGTCTCCAAAGCTGCCGGAAGAAAAGCCAAACCTGGAGAGCATATTGGAAACCCTGGAGGTGAAGCCATCCTGCACCTCCACTCCAGCCTCTGGGAAGCCACCTCCTAGAAGGATACTCCGGAAGGCCCAAAGCTTTGACCTCCCCTGCGGTGAGAGCCTGTGGTCAGGCTGCCAGAGGACGCTGAGCGAGCCAGCCAGATACGGCAACACCGGCGTCTTTATTAAGGGGCTGGAGGTGAGCAGTACTGAGCTGGTGGACAGGACTTTTGCGCTGCGGCAGCAAGCAGCTCACAGCTGGGCAGCAGACTGCCTGCTGGAGGGACAGAGGGGCTGCCTCTCCACATTGGATGCAAAGAGCTGGGGCAGGTAAGTGGCCGTGGCACTCGGTGCTCTGCTACTCAGGGTAGCGAGAAGGCAGCCAGCGAAGATGTGAAGAGCTGTGCGGTGACAGCTGCCAGTGGGGGCGAAGCAGATGGATGGAGAGGCAGAGCTCCAGCTCCCCTGCATACATGTGCGTGGTGCTAAACGGGCCCGCAGACATGTCCCTGCACAGCGTGGCACTGGCCTTTGCGGGGAGGTAGGGAAATAGGATCTCTCCTCTTCCCCCACGGCATGGGTCCTTCATAAGAGGGGGAAAGAGCCATTCCCAGGCAGGAGAGGGAGTCTCTGAACATTGCTGGCGTTAGGGGTCGAGGGTTTGCAGAAATGTAGCGCTGGTGACCTAGCAGGCCAGTGGTACAAGTGCAGTGGGAGAGCACAAGCATAGCACATCATCCCCCTGCTTCTGGGGAGGCTATGCCCAGGTTGGTGGGGGGCACTGCCAGTACCCTGTGACAGCTGCTTCACAGGGAAGAGGGTGTTTGTATTCGCCCTTTGGGTCCAAGATTGCTTATATATGTGGCCAACAGCTGGCTTTTGTTCCGTTTCCTCTCTGTCCTCAGAGGGGATCTCAGCTTGACGTTGTTGTCGTAGTGCAGTGTGCCTAAGACGTGGAGAGTCCAGGAATGTGAGCTGTTCTTGAAAGGGAGTCACCAGGCAGGTCTTTCAGCTGCTGGATGCAGGGGGATCACAGAGCTCCTCCACTGCTTGTGCTCTGGGCGGAATGGCTGGGGACAGCACAGCCCTCTGGAAGGGGCCTTTGGTAGCCCAGATATCTGTAGGTATCGGCCGGCTATCTGCATACCTTTGCCACGGTAAAGGTCATGACAGTGACAAACACCAGCAGACTGAAGGCTACCCGGTTTGCTTCTCGCGGGAGCCACGCAGCAGCCCTCCCTTCTGTGGGTGCTGAGGCAGTGCTGCCGGTCGCTCCTCTGAGCAGCCAGGCTTTGGCCTGGGCAAAGCTGAGAGGCAGGGAAGGCAGGCACAGGCTGGAGTAGCTATGTTTGGTGCTGCACTGCCGCGCAGTGGAAACCTTGAGTACCTCCTAGGAGCAATCGTTTGAGACGTGTGGAGCAACTGGTGCTTAGGAACTGCTGTTTGAAGTGATCTGAGGTTTGTTTCCCACTCTCGCTTCTACTGGGACAAGCCCAACAGCATCTGGGCCCAGAGCTCGTGTTCTCCCTGGGTTGACATTGCCCTGCGCCCAGTTGTCAGGCTGGCGACTCCTCACAGAAGCTGTTGTAACATCTGCTGTCCCTGTTTCAGGAGCGTGGCTGTTCGTGGGGCAGCCTGTTGTGTCGAGAGCAGGGTCTGGGTGTGCCTGGGGGTGTGTGTGTGTCCTGCTGAGCTTGGGTCAGGACCACAGCCAACCTGGGGCTCACCCTTCTGGACAGAAAAGCTGGCAGAGTTTCTTGGCTCAGCCACGAGCTTTGTCAGTGCTCAGGGTCAGAGCTGTCACAGACAGTTCTGAATCTGAGCTTGGGTGGTGCTAAGGGATCATCTCACCTCTATGTTGGGTCTTCGGGAGAGCTTCCCTAGGGATAGCCCAGTGCTTTGCAGGCACTCAGACTGCTGCACCCCACTGCAGTCTGGGTCCCATCAAGGCTGGGTGTTTCCTGTTGCAGCAAGCTGCGGCACATCATCGACGAGATGGTAACCACGGAGCGGGAATACGTGAGGTCGCTTTGCTACATCATCGATAGCTACTTCCCTGAGATGGAGCGCCTTGACCTCCCCCAGGACCTGCGCGGGAAGCGCAGCGTCATTTTTGGGAACCTGGAGAAACTCTACGACTTCCACAGCCAGTACTTCCTACGAGAGCTCGAGAGCTGCTGCAACCACCCGCTGCGGGCCAGCCACTGCTTCCTCCGACACGTAAGGCACCAGCACCCTCCCCCTGCGGCCAGGGTCCTCCGGGCACGTGCTTGGCTCCTGTGCCCAGCAGTGCCTGTGGATTTGGCTGCTCACCTGCGCATGAGTGGACTGGGGCTCTTTGGGAGCGGGAGGACTACCCTGTTCTGGGTCAGTTTGTCCCCTGCCAGCTCAAATGCTAGGTTGGACTGGGATGGCTCTGCGAGGCTGAGCCCAGGCAGCAGCAGATGCTCTTTGCATTTTCTGTTGGTTTTTTGCTACCAAGAGACACTGCCAGGGAAGCAAAATGTCTGCTTCTGAAAACCCACCTACTTCTGCAGGGACATCCCTTACCCTGTCTTCTGGCTGTGGTGTCAGTGTGGAATGACTTCAGTGAGCGGAGAGGTACAGGCCTGCTGCTGTTGTTGGAAAGGGCTGCTAGGGAGAAGTGTGGGGCACTGATCTTAAGCTCAGCTGCCCCATGCATGTTTGCTGCTACCAGGTGAATGGTATCTGCTGGGGTATGTAAGGGGCAAGGGGTAATGGGACAATGAATTAAAAAGTCCTAGCTACTGTAGGAGCAGGAAGATAAGAATGCTCCCTGGCTCATAATGAACTTGAAGCAAAGTCATTCCTGATATCATAGGAGGCTCTGCTGCAGCCTGGGAGAGGCAGAAGGACTAGAGTAACCAACCCAGGGCATGGCTGTTGCTGCGTCCTGGGTGTGTGTCAGTCTCACGCGGGGATCTCCTTTGCAGAAAGACCAGTTTGGGATGTACGCGTTGTATAGCAAGAACAAGCCCAAGTCGGACTCGCTGCTGGCCAGCCATGGGAATACCTTCTTCAAGGTAAATTCCACCACCTGCATCATGATCGCTCTTGGTGTTTGGGTCACCAATCTGTGTAAAGAAGCCCACCTTTCCTGCCTGAGGCATGCTCCGCACTACCTCTGCTTTCCTGGCACAGCTCTCTGCACAAGTGTATGTCGGGGGACAGGGGCAGAGAAGTGGTGAGTGCTTTGGGAAGGAGCCCAGCACACAGCAGCATTGGTCCCGTGGCCTTGCATTTCCCTGTGTAGCAAACGGAGTGCCGCAGTCAGGAAAGCTGTGGGTGTTGGTGCCTGCCTGGGGACGTGGGGCTCTCCACAGGAAGCTGCTGCCTTCATTCTCTGCTGCCTTTCTCAGTTCAAGCAGGTGCAGCTTGGGGATAAGATGGACCTGGCCTCCTACCTGCTGAAACCCATCCAGCGGATGAGCAAATATGCCTTGCTCCTGAAGGACCTGATCAAGGAGTGCAGCGAGGCACAAGAGCAGGAGCTGGGCTACCTCCGTGCAGCCGAGGAGATGGTGAAGTTTCAGCTCCGACACGGAAATGATCTGCTGGCCATGGATGCCATCCGCGACTGTGATGTACGTTCCAGTGTTCTCCCCTGCCCAGGGGAGCAGAGCCACACTTCTTCCCCTTCTCTAGACTTGGGGTCTTTGGATTGTACAGTGAGCCTCCCTTCAAATGCCCGCAGCGGTGAGGGTGCCGTCTGCCAGTACAGCGTAGCAGGACTGCTGAGGCACAGAGCAAGGTCTCCTTGAGCTGCTAGGACAGGCAGCCTGGATGCTGTTACTTGAGCTGGGTGAGCTGCTTGTCATAAACACGCTCCCAGGTGCTTACTGGTGACATGAGGCGGCCAGCGGCCCTTGCAGATGGTGTCCTGTGGGCTGCCTTGGACCCTTCCATCTCTTCTGAGCTGGTGTTAAGAGGGTCAGGCAGTTTGCAAAAAGGAATTCAAACTGATGCTGATGCCAGGGGCAGGCTAAAGTCAGCTAGGTAGGACTGGAAGGAGAGGCCACTGGAGGAGGAGAAACCCCAGGGCTCAGGGTGGAGGAAGATGGGTCTGGGACAGGATGAACTGAAGGACTGGCTTCCTGACACAGATGCGCTCCTGGCAGTTAGGCGGGACTCCTTTCCTCTTAAGCTCTTCTTCTCTCCAAGAGAAAGCTCTGGCTGCTGCCTCCAGTTCCCACCCCAGAGGTTTGTCACATATCTGCACAGGGTGACAGCAGAGGGTTGTCTGTGGGCTGTGGCTAGGAGAGAGGCGCAGTTTTCCCCTGAGCTCCGGGCCAGGTGTTTAAGCCCGATGTGGCCTCTGGCAGTGCCATGCAGCCCTACCTCTTCAAGACCCCTCCTAACCTGACAGCTAGCTGCCACTTTCACCACCCAGGCCGCAGCTATACAGGAGCCTGCTCTCTGTGTCCAGGCCTGGGGCAGCCTGGAGCTGATCCTGCTGGGGTCTGACCAGGATGTTCCCTGTGTCCAGGTGAACCTGAAGGAGCAGGGGCAGCTGGTGCGGCAGGATGAGTTCACCATCTGGCTGGGTCGGAGGAAGTGCCAGCGACACGTCTTCCTCTTTGAGGACCTGATCCTGTTCAGCAAGCCCAAGAGGATCGAGGGTGGCTTTGACGTGTATATCTACAAGCGCTCTTTCAAGGTAAGGGCAGCCCTGCAGCTCCCTCTTGTGCAGGATGTATCCTTGGCTGGTTTCCCCATGGATGCATGGCTCTAAAATGGGGAGCAGGAGCACCTTCAGGAGAAGAGCTGCTCCCACCACTGCTACGCCTTCTCCAGGCCACCCAGTGAAGCCAGGAGGGAATACTTCACCCATTAATGCCTGGGCCCCCTCCATGCTGTGATATGTGGAACCAAGGTCTTCTGAGGGACAGGGAGTGTGAGAGAAGGGCAATGTGTGTGTAAGGTCCCTACCTTACACACACATTGTGTGTGAGCCTGTAGCAGGTGGTGCTGACTCTGGATGAAGCACCAGGGAATTGCCCGGGCTGTCTCTGCTCAGCTTTGTCCAGACTGTACCTGCTCCTGTCTGGACTCTCAGGCTCCTTCCTGGTGGGTCTGCTGAGCTGGGGGTGCACAGGGTGCAGGCAGAGTTTAAGCTTTCTGCTCCTGGTCGAGCCCCAGTTGATGCTTTGCTCTTCCTTCCTCCGGCAGACTGCAGACATCGGTCTGACAGAGAACTCTGGAGACAGTGGCCTGCGCTTTGAGATCTGGTTCCGAAGGAGGAAGTCCAGCGACACCTACATCCTCCAGGCCAGCTCAGCCGAGACTAAGCAGGCCTGGACCAGTGACATCGCCAAGATCCTGTGGCAGCAGGCAGCCCGCAATAAAGGTGTGATTCCTTCCTGGGGCGTCTGTGCCGCAAAAGGTGCGGGAGCCCTGTTCAGCTCATGCTGTCCTGAGTAGGTTTGGAGCCTGTTAGCAGGCAGCTCTGTGTGGCGAGCAGCTGTGTGCTGGCATGTGGCCTCAGGAGCATGTGCTGGGCTTGGCTAGGCATGCCCCTTCCCTGCCCCTCAACCCCAGGGAGCTCTGTGTGACTGTAGGCACCCACCTGGACTCCACGAGAGAAACGGGGGATACTAGCCCAGGGTTCCCTGCCCCTGTGAGTGTGGGCTGTGCTCGCGAAAGGCTTGTGGCTCTCCCCACTGTCCAGGCCACTGCTGGAGTGGCAGCTGTCTGGCTGTGTCCCTCCGCTCTGCCCCAGGCTTCCCGCTTGGCACGACCCTTGTAGGTGGCATGGCACTGAGCTGCTTGGCCAGAGCAGGGTGTGACTGCTTGTCTGTGGGGACTCCTCAGGCCTGGGGAGCGAAGGGAGAGCAGATCTAACCACGGTAGTCCAGGAGTGCTCTGGCCTGGCGCTGCGTAGAGCCTGTGGGGCTCACGATGTGGCTGCGGGTCTCTTCCCCTCCAGAAATCCGTATGCAGGAGATGGTCTCCATGGGTGTGGGCAACAAGCCGTTCCTGGACATCAAACCCAGCGAGGCAGCTATCAATGACCGTGCTATTGACTACATCATGAAAGGCAGAGGTGAGTGCCAGCCATACCTGCCCCTTGCTTCGTGTCAGCTGGGCAGGACTGGTGCTCAGGGCTTTTTCACTGTGTTTTCTGGCAGGCGCCAGGACCAGAGCATCAATTGCGGTGTCTCTGTTTGACCATTCCAACCCATACAAGAGGACGCAGGCACAGCTCTCTGCTGGCAGCACCCCCGCTGCGTACAGCCCTTCCTCCTCCTCGCTGCTGGGGCCCCTCAACCTCCACATGTACCTGGACCAGGCTCTGCTGCCGGGCGTCCTGGCCCCTAGCCGCCCCTTTGACATTGGCACCTGCATCGAGGAAGATGAGCTGGAGCATGAGACGAGCAGCCAGCCGTCGCTGAGTACGTACGAGCCCGCTGCTCTGCGGTGCGCCCCGGGACGCGTGGGCTTGTCCCCCCACACCTTGCTCTGTGCCGTGCGGTCAGACCAGGCTCGCTGGGCTCGTGGCAGTTCCTGCCCCACAGCCACCCTGGGGCAAGGAGGGCCCTGCCGTGCCACGCCAGCTGTGTCTAGCATTTGTGGGGGAGTTGGCTCAGACAGATCAGTAAAGTGCCCACCGATCTGCCGCCGTCCCGTGGTGGGCTGGGTGCTGCGTACTGGGGCTGCTGTGGCCTCGGAGACCAGTGCTTGTGTCTGCCTGCCTCTCTGGTGCAAGGCCCTCTGACCCTTGCTGTCCCCAGCCTGGTCTGGTGTCCCCTTGGCTTCCCTCTGTGAGCTTCCCTGGCCAGGGCTGTACCCGTCTCCAGCACCGTTTGCTGCCCTTCCTTGGGTCATTTTGTTGCCTGTGGCTTTGAAGAGGCCTGGACAGGAGCGGGGCTTATCTGTGGGCTTGTGTGGCCAGTGCCTCTGCAAACACGTTATCAGGTGTGTGGCATGGGTCACGTAGGCCAAATTTGTGGACATCAGAGTGACCTTCCTCTCTTCCCCCAGCAACAGAGAGCTCGGAGTCATCACACTGCATGTCAGGTAGCGGCTCCAGCGGCTCCGACAGTGGCTGTGTCTCCAGCATCCCCCAAGAAAGCTTCTGTGAAGACATGGTCTCACCCCCCTACATGCCCCTGGGCTCACAGCACAGCTCTGCCGTGGAGGAGAAGCCCAGATTCGCAAACAGCCAGTACATTTCCGCAGTAAGTGCGAGCAGCCAAAGCACGCTCTTCACTTTGCCGGTTCCTGCAGCTGCCTCCCTGGTCCAAGCCGCTGCCTCTTGCGGGGGCACTGAAGATGCTGCTTTCGGGCTTGAAGTGGCTGCAGGGAAGTGACCTGTCCTCTGGCAGAGACTCCCCTCCTCTGGGGTGGGCGAGGGCCCCACTGTTGTGAGAGCAGCTCCCACAGTGGCTGAGATCCCCAGGGAGATGCCCTGCAGAGGACCTGCGGTGCTGGAGGCTGGGCGCAGGAGCTGTAACGCTGTTGTGGGCTGGGGTACAGATGTAACCTCCTGGGGTGGATGGAGCTCTGCTGCAGTTGCTGCTAAGCTCCGTTCCCGGGAGGTCTGGGCCTGCTGGGGAGCGATGAGATGGCAGAGCGGGAGCCTGTCGCTCTGAGATGTCAGTGTGTCTCCTCTTACGTTCCTGAGAGTTCTCAGCTGCTTCCCTTCCCACTGGATGGTGTCCTGATGCTGTTGTCCTCTAACCCTGTACTAATGCTGGCTTCTCTCCTCTGCAGAAAGCAGGAGGCCAGGTCACCATAAGTCCCTCGACAGTAGTGTGAACCCCTCTGCACACGTATACCGCCTAAGGAAGTGGAGTTGGTGTAAGTAGCCCCAAAGGGGATTTTCCAGCAGCTCTGAGTGCTGGTCAGGTTTGTCAGTAGCTCTGAGTCAGGAGAACCTCCCCCTCTGCTTCTCAATGAGAAGTTTTCTCCATCTGTTCCTGACTGGTCTCTGAGGCTCGGAGTCATCTGGTTGGAGAAGACCAGCTCCCACAGATGTGGCTCCCTCAGAGCCGTTGCCTTAAGGAGCTGGTCTGAGCCCTCCCGGGTTTGGAGGAGCAGAAACAAAAACCACACAAAATCACTTGCGGGTAGCAGAGGCGTGCGCACCACCTAGTCCTCAGCATTCAGACGAGCTCCTTTCCTCTGAATGCTGCCATGCTGTCTAACCACTAATCTGTTCCTTGAGGCTGTTTGCTGAAACCCTGCTCTTCCTTAGTCCCTCTGAGCTGCCCTGGGGCACCCACGGTGTTCTCCCCAAGCTGGATTTATCCCACAGTTTCCTTTGAACCTCTGAAGGGAACTGCGCATCACCGGGCAGAGGAACCTGCTAGGTTGTGGTCAGAGTGTCCCAGGGGAGCTGCCAGATGTTGCTCCTGCACTCGCTGAGCTCTGGACGATGCCTCGTCTGCAAGGAAATGGCCGTTGATCTGAGGGGGGGTGAGCCAAGCAGGGCTTCCCGATCCTGGATGGCAGCCCTTGGAAAGCTGCGTCACGCCCTGCTCAGCCTAGCCTGCTGCTGGCTCAGCTTTTTCCTCCCCGTCCTGAGGGCTGAGCCGCCTCTTCCGCAGGGAGCAGAGGGGTGTGAACGCGGGGCTGCAGGACGGGGGCTGGCGTGGTGGAGGCACAGGGCGCTGGGTGGCGGCGAGGTTTGGCACCATGGCCGTGTCGCAAGCACGCAGGCCCGCGGTTTTCAGTCTGCAGATGCAGGGGATCATAACCAGCTAAACAGAGCCAGCCAGGGCTAAAATTTAACATCCAGAGCCCCTTCTGGGGGGGTCACAAACAAAAACCTTTGAAGTGGCCCCAGACGCATCGGGGTTTGCACTTATCCTTTGGACAGAGGCAGCTCTCGGCTGGGGGATGAGCAGCCCCTCTCCTGCAAGGCCCTGCTGGTGAAACGTTCTTTCCCCACCCAAACGCAGCTCTGACAAATGGTGGGTGCTGGCCGGGAGAGAGGGAGCTGTGGGGTCAGGTGTGCAGCCGGGCTAACCCTTGCACGGTGCTGTGTTCCAGGTTTGATTGCCATTTCAAACTCCCTGAAGACCCCAGGCCTCTGACCACCAAGAGGAGACAGTCTTCACCCAGGAAGATAAAAATATAGACAAATTTTTTTTTTTTTTATTTTACATATAGTCAGGCTCTTGCAAACATCCCAGAACCTGACTCTGGCTGGGAGGGAAGTGCCAGGAAGGTTTCTGTCAACTCCACGTAACAGCTTTGGTGTTGGGTGGGACCTTGGGCATTGGAAATGCGTTAGCCCTGTATTTATGAGTAACATAGCTTTTTGGGGAGGGGAAAAAAAAAAGTATTATTTTTAAAGCTATGAGCTGTACAGATTTTTGTTACAAGTGACTCTGTTACTATTTGTTCTGTAAGCTGCACATTTTATAAAGTTTTTTGGAAGGGCATGAAGAGAAACCGAGGTATTTAAGAGAAGTAGCGTAACTTTCTGTTTCAGGGTTATATTGACCTGGAGCTCCAGATTTAATGTCCTTCCTTATGTTCTAAATATGTCTATCATAGCAATAATTTATTTTCTTGGCTTAACACTTCTGTTTTAATAAAAGCAATTTCATTGTCACGGTGAATTCTTTCTTCCGATGATCCTTCCAGTGCCTCAGTGCTGAGCTTCTCTCTGCCTTAACCATCTCTCAGCTCTTCTCTTGCCCCGTGTTGTCCCTGTGCTAACTGGCTGCCAGCTACTCCGTGTAAACCCTGAGCAGGGGCAGATCCCTGGTGCTGCCGGGGGGCCGAGGCTGGGCAGGGAGTGCAGAGCAGCCAGCAGTGACACAGAGGGAGCCATCTGGCCCAGGCAGTGGCATGGGTCACCATACACCCTCGTGCCAGCCCCTGGCCCCATGTAGCTGCTGTCCCCATCTCTCTCCCTGTCAGGTTGGGTTCCAGTTGTGCAGGACAGGGCTTTCAGGGTCAGGGGGGCTGGTGCCTTGCTTTGCCTCTGACTCAGCGTTGGTCCCACCATAGGGGCCCGTTTGAGGAGCTGTGGATGGTGGTGGCATCTGAGACGGACAGCTTTTGAGCATCACGGGCCGAGTACAGCGCTCCCCCCTCCAGTGCCTGCTGTCCGAGCAGTGCAGTGCACCTGGAGGCCAACCATGCCCTGTTCCAAGGCTGCCCCTCTGCGAGCAGCGGCAAAGGTCCCCGTGGGGCTGGGACATCCTCGCCCTGCTCCTAGGGGAAATGAAAATGAGCGGTTTTGGCAATGGTGGTTACTTGCTGCCAAGCTCCTGCTCACTCCTGGTTTACGGAGTGCCAGAGGGGAGAGCGGGGCTGTACTCTTAGCCTGAGGAAGAGGATGGAGCTGTGACTTACTGCTCTTCCCCAGGGCTGCTGGGGCGGGGGAGCTGTCTGGCCCGTGGCAGCGCAGCGCTGTAGTCTCAGATGTCAAACCTCAGCTGCCCGAGTTACCCTCCTGCCCAGACTGCCTGCCTTGGCCTCTGGAAATCCCTGTGCTGTACGTAAAACACATGTTGATTTTTCAGAAGCTGGATGTTTTTAAAACCTTGTTCTTTTTTTAGACAGCAAAGAGAACAGTTTGCCACCTTTGTACAGAACTGTGTCAAAGCAGTTGTGCACGGAAGATTTTACAAGTTACTGTTTTCAAATAAATGCAAGATCTTTGGGCTGGCTCACGGCACAAGAGGGAGAGAATTTGCTAATACAACAAGGGGAACATGAAATTTCCTGAATTTCTCAGTTTCAAAGGTTTCTGCATTGCTGGAAAAACCTTTAGTAATGTTTACCTGACACTGTTTTTTCAGGGTTTGATTGATTTGTCTAATAAAGGTTATTTTCTTTATATGAATCTGGTTTGCATGGTATCTTGATTTTGGCTTCAGAGCAGGGGAGACGAGCAGCTTTCCCGGGGGCATCCAGATACTCTCAGAACGCTGAAGTGATGTTTTTCTAATCGGGTGGTTAGGCAGGGTGAGGGCGACTCGCTGGAGTTTGCAGGGTGAGAAGCGTCGGCTCTGCTCCCCCGAGCTGCTGAGGTTCTGGAACAGGGACAACGTGCTTAAAATAGACCATGAAGTAACCGCTCCAGACCTCTGAGTAGGGTTCTGGTTTTATTGGGTGAATAATAATGTTAATAAATACGTTAGCAGAAAGGGGGGATTCTTCTGTTCATTTTAGGTAACAGGCCGCGGGGAGGGGACAAGCTTTTGCCCAGCTGCTGGCCCAGCGCTTCCTAAGGTCAGGGAGCCATCCCTGTGCGACAGCTTGGCCGCAGCCCCGGTCAGCAGCGGGATGAGCGCTGGCTCCTGGCTGGAACGGGGCAGGAGCAGCGGGGCAGAGAGCCTGGGGTGCCTGGGGGCCAGAGCTGTGGGCTCGGCCTGCAAGAACAAACCCCGCAGGTCACTAATGCGGGTGTAAGAAATCTCCTCCGTTACCTGAAGCAGAAGGCTGCTACAATGATTCCTGACTAAACAAAGTCACTGTTCACAGGTAACAGAATGCTGAGCAAAAAGGCTGCTTCTTGCCCTGGCAAGGCATGTGCCCTCCTCACCTGCTGCAAGATAATAAAAACATTCCAGAGTGTAGCTGGGTCAGATTTTTATTATCATTCTGTGAACTTAATGTTTCCAAGATGATGTATGAGCCAGACCTGGAAAACCCTCTGTGGGTCAGCAAGTGGAGGCAGCGGCTGCACTTCCGTGCACATGGCAGGGCGAAGGAGCACATTCTCCTTCCTTCCCCTCGCTGGAGCAGCTCCTCGCATGTCACAGAATCACAGAATGTTGGGGGTTGGAAGGGCCCTCTGTGGGTCATTCAGTCCAACCCCCCTGCTGAAGCAGGGTCACCTACAGCAAGCTGCACAGGACCGCGTCCAGGCGGGGTTTGAATATCTCCAGAGAAGGAGACTCCACAACCTCTCTGGGCAGCCTGGGCCAGGGCTCCGTCACCCTCAGAGGGAAGAAGTTCCTCCTCCTGTTCAGCTGGAACTTCCTCTGCTTCAGTTTGTGCCCATTGCCCCTTGTCCTGTCGCTGGGCACCACTGAAAAGAGTCTGGAGCTCCTCATCTTTCTTGAACTGGGCAGCCCAGAACTGGACACAGCACTGCAGATGGGGCCTCACCAGGGCAGAGCAGAGGGGAAGGAGAACCTCCCTCGACCTGCTGGCCACACTCCTCCTAATGCACCCCAGGATCCCATTGGCCTTCTTGGCAGCCAGGGGACACTGCTGGCCCATGGTCAACCTGTCATCCCCCAGCACTCCCACTCCCTTTCCACAGAGCTGCGCTCCAGCAGGTCAGCTCCAGCCTGTACTGGTGCGTGGGGTTGTTCCTCCCCAGATGCAGGTCCCTGCACTTGTCCTTGCTGAACTTCATTAGGTTCCTCTCTGACCAACTTTCCAGGTCACGCTGAATGGCAGCACAATGTCTGTCCCCTGCAGAACACACCCTGTTCAGTAAAGAAGCAACAGACTCCCTGGCTGCGATCCGCTGGGTCTGAAACACGGGATGGGACGGGGGCGTCTCAACACGCAACGAACGCTCCCCAGGGTGACATCACCCGTTGGATGGAGACGCTCCCAGCCCAGCCCCGGCCAGGCTGAATGATGAGATGAAACAGGATCGGTGGGAGGTGGCAGAGCTGGCAGCATCACGTGCAGTTCAAAAACGCAAGGCCAAGCTTGCCCAGGTCCCGTTCCTGACACCTTTCCCCCCTCTCTCTTCCAGTGGAGAGGTAAAATGCTGCTGGCTGGAGCTTCTCCAAGCAGGGGAGTGGCTGTGGGCTGGCATCGGCTCCTTCCCGTGCAAATTAAAAACAAAGCCAAGAAAACCCTGGGCCTTTGAGAACAGGCCTTTATTCTGCCACCAGCCCCCAGCACACAGTGAGTGGGATGCTGCCGTGACGCTGGCTCTCCCATCCCTGGATTTAAGAAAGGGTCCTGGAAAGGCTCCCAGTCCCCCCATGACTGCGCCCGCCGGACGCCATCCCCCTGCTCGGGGGGATGCCACCTCCTCTGCGAAGATGTGCCTCGGTCTGTATTTGCCGTGGTGGTTCGCTCGGACAGATGATGCGTCCCCAGACAGCAAATGCCAACCTTCACATCAAAAAAATTTGCAACTTTAGGTATAGCATTACAGCTCTGCTCTGCTTCCCTCTTTCCCATGGAAAGTTCAGAGTAACCGTTACACACTGTGTAATGGGACCGGAGCAGAGCACAGCCTGGGATTCTTTCACGGGATGTCAAAGAGGGGTTTTTTTCCTATGAAAATAATAACCTGGCTTGCACTGCTCTAGTCACAAAACCATCCACAGCCATTATTCATACATTTTTGCTTCTGCAAAAGCCTGCCGGGCTACCCACAGTGGAAGCGGCACAGGCAAATCACATCCTCCTCAGGCGTCGGAACAGGTCTCGGGCTGAGACTCTCCGCGGAGGCTGCCTGAGTTTGCGTTTGGTATCTTGGTTAATCAGGCAAACCTGTTTAACCCCTACACATCCCTGTGGAAGCTTCTGGGTTTAGCACAGAACTCTTTCAGTCTTTCTGCCAGCTCACTGATTTCTGTAATGGATGGACTGGGTAACTCCAGCACATCTCATCAGCTCCATTGCTCCTTGCGCAGCTCTAAAGGCAGAGGAGCAAGCAGCCAATTAAAGAACAATTCATTAATGCCAGGGACTCTAAAAGCGGCTCCTCCTTTCGGGCAGCACACACTTTTAGCCTGAAACTCTGCATAGCCGAGCAGTAAAA